AGCCAATCCCTATTGCAGATGCTAGCTCAGGCGCATTTGTGGTTTATACTGAAACTATGCTGAGCAGACCTTAGTAACAGTTTCTGGGAGAGAGCAATTTATCTAGCATGATCAACAATTTAATTAAGGCCAGCACACTCAAGCCCTCAGCCATGATGACTTGTGTCTTCATACTAGCACTGCTATCAACGGCCCAAAGAGTTCCATCTACCCAATTTCACTCACAAGGCTTGGGTCAACCTATGGCACAGTTTTCAGGCACTTACTAAAGGTGCCGCACACTAGGGTCGACCTGATCAAGTCCGATAATATCAGGAAGTCTTCTTCCTGACAAATCAACCCTGGTGAGATTTGAACTTGGGTTTCATAGTCAGAAATCAAATGTTCTAACCACTCAACCATGTGCCCATATATATATATATATATATATATATATATATATATATATATATATAATCATATAACCCCCCCATTCAGTGGTATCAAGCAGTGTTCAGGAAAGTGTTTCTTAATTGAGGTGCCAGATCAGTGAGCCTCTGAAAAGGCGACTGTGCAGTATATTCAACCTGGAAGCCATATTATTTCAGATGGCTGGGTTGCTGGAATCAAGGAAATCAACCATGAGATACACTTGTGACTTTGTCATACATCAGCAGCATTTTGTGGGTCTACAGCACAAGAACACTCTTGTGTTTTCAGCATTTATTTGATGCATATCCCACCATTACCCATTGTAGCAATGTTTAATTGTAATAAATGTATATACCTTGGTCTTATTGATTTTATGCGATTCAGCGTATAGTGGTTTATTTTACACCGCTTAAGTGAAGGTTAACCAAAATTAAAAAAAAAAAAAGAATCAGATGCAATAAATATATTTTATTGGCTTTAAATTATACAACAACCAATTAACAGGACCAAAGCAACCCATTTAAATAGACAAGAATCACTAATAAGAGAGGCTTACTTGTTTGTAGGGGGGGGCAATATTGTTAAAGATATGAAACCACTTAGTAACTATGGATAAATAGCACAGCAGTTGTAACTCTTTAGCTTTGTAAGGTAATCCACCTTGGACATTAACATGACACTATATAAAAAAAAAAAAAAAAAAAAAAAAAATAAAAAAAAAAAATTGCCCACAACTTGAAACCATAGCAGCATTACTTGGTGCCGTTGCTGCCCTACACAGGCAGCCTGCAGGAATAAGTGAAACATAATTTTAAAGCTAGAAAATATACACAATTCCAGATTTTACAAGATTTTTTTTTTCAATTTCTAAATTTAGTGGGCTGGCACAAAAGTATGTAGTATTTTTAAGTGAATTTCAAAGACATCATTTCTATATTTGTACATAGATTGATTGTCTTGGGCTTGGGTCAAAATTGTTAAAGGCATGAAACTACTTCTCCCCAAAACCCTGGAGAAATAGTAGAAAAATTGGAACATTTTAGCTTTAAATCTTTGTTTGGCACCTATCATAGCTGTTGGGCTAAAATCTGACCCTGTAAAAAGTTCACTTGCTATTGGAAATATAAGAGGAGAAGTATTTGATGTCATTGCCACCTTGAACTACATAAGCAGATGTACAGTATCGAATAAAACATGATTTTAAAGCTTGCAGCTACAAATTATAGACAACTCCAGATTTTACAAGTTTTTTTTTTTTTTTTGCTGAGTTAAAAACGTAGATTCTTAAACAAAAAAAAAAAAAACACAAACCAACAAATTTATAATTTTCTTTCATTAAAAAAAAAATAAGTAAAATACAATAAAAAATAAAATCATGGACACAATAAATCAATGTATTTTAATGCCCTTAATTAGAGGTCAACCAATTACCAGGACAGAGGCAAGAGTTGAACTCATTCATAAAGACAGTAATCCATAATGACACCAGAGAGGCTCACCTTGTTTGCCTTGGGGGTGGGTCAATCAGAATTTTCTAAAGCGAGAAGCGTTCTTAAGTGTACGTACATAGTCAGGTGAAAACGTGACACCAAAATCAACATTCTAACAAAACCGAGCCATTAGCTGTGTAAATAAAAAACCTTTTCAGATATCAACGATTGTCAACAGGCGATATTCAAGGGACAAAACAAGAAATCTACTAAATATAAAATGTTCAGAGTGAAAGTAAAGATGGAGGAGAGAAAGAAAAGGTTTTATGATCAATGAAACCTTTTTGTAGAATAATTGAGACCATCAGAATAAACAATATCCAACACTGGCAATGGTTTACATGGCTTAACTCTTTCAGGTCATGTCAAATGGGTTGGCTCTGAAATCTTGTCAGAGAAACTAGCTTAATCTCCCACCTGCAAACACAAGGTCAGTTGAGTTAGTAATGGTGATCTTCTAACCATAGATTAGACATGACACAAGGCTGAAAGTATGCGGTACCCAGTGAGGATCAAACTCACTACTCTATTGTAATTGATCTAGCAAGACAATGTAGGTTGAGTTAGTAATGATTGTAGAATGATGATCTGGGAGTTGGGATAAAAAGCAAGAGAAATAAGATGAAAGAAATATTAGTCCAAAATGAATCAAAAACACAATGTAGGTTGAGTTAGTAATGATTGTAGAATGTTGATCTGGGAGTTGGGATAAAAAGCAAGAGAAATAAGATGAAAGAAATACTAGTTAAAAATGAATCAAAAACACAATGTAGGTTGAGTTAGTAATGATTGTAGAATGATGATCTGGGAGTTGGGATAAAAAGCAAGAGAAATAAGATGAAAGAAATACTAGTTAAAAATGAATCAAAAACACAATGTAGGTTGAGTTAGTAATGATTGTAGAATGATGATCTGGGAGTTGGGATAAAAAGCAAGAGAAATAAGATGAAAGAAATACTAGTTAAAAATGAATCAAAAACACAATGTAGGTTGAGTTAGTAATGATTGTAGAATGATGATCTGGGAGTTGGGATAAAAAGCAGGAGAAATAAGATGAAAGAAATACTAGTCAAAAATGAATCAAAAAACACAATGTAGGTTGAGTTAGTAATGATTGTAGAATGATGATCTGGGAGTTGGGATAAAAAAGCAAGAGAAATAAGATGAAAGAAATACTAGTTAAAAATGAATCAAAAACACAATGTAGGTTGAGTTAGTAATGATTGTAGAATGATGATCTGGGAGTTGGGATAAAAAAGAAGAAAATAAGATGAAAGAAATACTAGTTAAAAATGAATCAAAAAACACAATGTAGGTTGAGTTAGTAATGATTGTAGAATGATGATCTGGGAGTTGGGATAAAAATGCAAGAATATGTTATTAAATGGAGGCTACAGAATGCCTACAGACAAGTAGCATTGTTACACAATGTTACCATCTTTGCCAACTTTTGGTTGCAGCTTTTGATATTTTCATGTTTTTCTGGCTGATATTAATCCTGCATTAGTCACCTCAGATTTCCAGAAATGGATAGTCCTCTAGTGTTTACACACTCCAATACAAAAATGCTTATTGTGTTACAATTATGTAAAATATTGTTGTACTGCTAAAGATAATATCATAACAGGCAATCTCCATTACATTAAACCATAAGTTGAACTGAACATATAATTATTCATTAAAATGAAAATTATAATAAATTTGTTGCATAAACATGTTTTTAATTGTAGGTGAAACACACCAATTCAATAATAGAGAATAGTTTTAGTCAGAAAAAATAGCCGCAATGTATAGGGTGTGATGGTTAAATTGTCGCCATTTTAAATTTTTATTTTCACACATCTGCATTGTTTGTTTTGATTTTTGTCAACTGTACAGTCAGTTGGGTACCATCTGTGACAAAAAGAGTGCCATAGCACAATTCACTCAACCAGAAATTTAGAAACGGCATGATATACTGCTTGGCATTCACGCTGGAAGTTTCAGTATGAGCATTTCAGAGTGTTTTGGTGTCAATCAGTGTAGAAGCTCGGAAAGAGTTGGATGAGTCTAATGGTGATTACAAAGTTGTTTGGAGGGATCACTGATGATGGCAATGTTATGCATCCATTCATCTTCCCACAGGGCCTTGGACTCAATTCAGAGGCCTACCTCAAGTGCTTTGAGGAGGTAGTGCTGCCCTGGGTCAAGAGAGTGGCTGCTGGAAAACCCTGCACCCAGCCACTCAAGCAGTAATAACCAAGTCATGGCTGTCTGACAATTTCTGCAACCACATCACCCCTTACATCTCGCCACCTAACTCCCCAGACTGTAATATCCTTGTTTATTATGTGCAGGGCACAGTTGAGAGAGAGAAGAACAAAACTCCTTGTAACATCAAAGATGAACCGAAGGCAAGGATTATGGCAGCATTCACCAACTAAAACAAGGAGACCGTCCAGAAGAGATGCAGGAGATTCTGGGGTCGTCTGGAGGCCGTGGTTGAAGCCAATGGCGATTTCATTGAATAAATTTACTCTTTTGTTATTTCAAGATAATTTTGCGTAATTTTGGTAAATATATCTGTTAAAATGAAATGTCAGTCTTATTTTAATTTTGACATAATTTAAACGACAATTTATCCATCGCACGCCATATTTTCATGAAGTGAAGTGAAAAGAAAATTCAGTGTGTACCCATTATATAGTCATTACCATTTGCTCTGATTCACCAACAGTTGCTACAGTCTCACAATTTGTGCAAACCATGAAAACTCACCTACCTTAGTCAGGTGGGCTGATAGGACACCCCAAAGAAGACAAAGGGATATCTGCCTCCCATGATAACTGAGCTACAACTATGCTACACCATGTGCTAAACACCCTCACTGAGTCAGGTGAGTAGTGAAAAGGAGCAAAAGAAACAAGTTGCCAACTAAGAATTATGGGTACATAAAAAATTTGGGGGTAACAAAACCCTACATGTGGCTAATGCAGGGTTAATAAAGGTTTACGTTTCCCAAACATCACAGTTTAACCAAAAGCCCTCTCTAGTACTTAGAACAATTAAAGTGAAAAAACAAAATAAAAAAAAAACAAAAAAACAGCACGTTTGACTTACCCCTGCCTCCTCGTCCTCGCTGAGGACCTCCCCGTCCTTTCATTTCTCCACGGCCTTTGTTCTTCATCACAACTTCTTCCTTCACCATATCAATAACTTCATCTGGGATACGCAAATACTTTATGGTGCTGCCTCGAATATAACATTCTGGCATCCGCCAGAAACGGTCACCATCCTGTAAACATATAAGACACATGATAACAGATAACAAAATTTACGGAAATACACTAAATGGCAAAAGACAACTTTGTTTACACTATTTATATTTGGACTATTTGTTCACTTATTTTGTCGTCGTTGTTGTTATCACATTTCAGTGATTGTATTCTCCAGCCTTTCTCAGGTGTATATCTGGGTAATTTACAGGGAATTCTGAACTGAACCCTTTATTTAATCTGCAGGAGTAGACTGTTCTCATTCCACTGTTCATGTATAGAGTTATCATCTAGCTCTTATTTTTATTTAGTTTCCACTGAATGCAAGTACAGACTACTCAATCCAGGGATTGAACTCACAATCACTATGTCACCAAATACACAAACCAATGTTTTAATCCATTAGTGGATTAAAATGAACTTGTGACATTGAGGCCATGAGGTGGTTAAATGTTGATTCTGAACAGGAAAGGGTTAAGCCCAAAATGGAATGTAGGCTGGAAGACAGTAAGAGAGAGTGGAGGCATTTTCCTTAGTGAAAATGGGGCCATCTGGATTTTTTTTCTCCTAAAGTTTATTTTTCTTATTTATCAAGAATCTGGCATGCAGACAAAAACAGAGTTGGAAAACAACTTTATCCCTTCCTTGAGAATTTAGGCAAATGAAAACAAATTACGAACCTGTTGTGTGGGTCAAACTTAAGAAGATTGATCATGTTGTGACAAGCAGGTGATCTGGTTTGTGTTTTCACTTGACTGCGATTAGCCCATGGATGGAGAGCAATTTTATCTCTTCTTTGAGAATTCAGACAAACAAATATATTTTTGTTGACAAAACTGAATTGGGGAAATGAAAACAAAGAGCGAACACATTGTAAGAGTCAAAGTTGTGAAACCAGATTCTGTAATTGCTGAGAGAATGATCTGGTTTGTGTTTTCGCTGGACGTGAGTACATTTGGGATAATTTTATCTCTGCCTTGAGGAGGCAGGAGAATTAGAATTAATGATTACAATAAACTATGCCCTTTCACCCACACAATTTGAAAATTAGATTTGTCACAAAACAGTTGGGCCAGCCAGTGATAGGCATGAGGTGGAACATGGAGAGGGACAGAAGCAGGATTTGGCACCACCTGTGTAGAGTGGTGGTGTGAGATGTGAAGTGATGCAGGTTGGAGTTGGGGGAGGAGCGTTCCCTCTAACTACTCAATGGAAAGTTAATTAAGAAAACAGAAATAGGGAAAAAAGAATCCTTATTAGAATTAATGTGGAAACTGAAGAATCAACAAATCCCAAGAACCCTTCACCTCATGCCATTTTTCAGCCAAAGTGCATATAAGCAAATGGCTTTGGGAGCTCAAGGACTTTGCATGAGAACCTGTATCAAGTGCCTCTGGAATCCATGTCAACTACCACCAGATTTTTTGATTCTAAAGAACTTTAAACCCAAATCATTAGCTGAGGCACAGTGTAACTGTATTTTTGTGTTATTTTTGGTGAATATATCTGTTAAAATGAGATGTCAGTGTTATTTTCATTTTTTGTATAATTAAACGACAATTTATACATCGTACCCTGTATTTTGTTTACATGTTTGGTTAAAAACCAACAAAATTTGTCCATTTTTTTTCTATATTTTAAATCACGTTACTGGTTTCCAGTACATATTTAAATATAAATTGCTCAGTGTTTGAGTACTTTCATATTTCATAAATGATTATCAAAGAATTTTATTGTTTTGTGCAATGTCAGTTTCATCATTTTTAAATATTGCATCTTCACATCCGAGTTTGTGTTTGAGGTTATTTGTGTCTGAGTGAATGCAATAAACCAAACTGGAACTTGAGTCCATTACACCACTTCCACATCAGAAAGAGACAGCAAAAGATACCTTCCAAAAGCTAAGCAACATATTAAGAAACAGGAAAATTTCATTAGACACAAAGAAAAGAGTATTGTATTGTTATGTAATATCAGTCCTCTTATAAGGCAATGAATGCTGGACAATCTCCTCAAAGATGAAAAAGAGACTTGAGGCAACAGAAAAATAGTTCAAAAGGATGCCGAGTATACTATGGACTGAACATGTGAAGTTTTAGAGAAAATGGAAACAAAAAGGACACTTCTACTTAGAATCAGAAAGCAACTTAAATTTCTAGGGCACACAATGAGGAAAGAGGGCTTAGAAAATTTGACACTTACAAGACATACTGAACGCAAGAGACACAGGAGGAAACAGTGTGTAACCTACTTAACGATCTCATGTAAATGGATGGCAGAAGACGGATTCAGAACGATAGTAAGGGGACAAACTGTGGAGAGTAATGATCGCCCATGTACTAAAGTGACATGGCAGAAGAAGAAGAATTTGGTAAACAGAACGATGGCAGCAGAATTATATTATATTAGTCTATCATTACATTGCATCCCCAAATAATTTGGAAAAATGTGATCTACTTTTGATTCCCACCAGATACCCACCTCTGCACATGACAACAAGATGAATTGGGCTTTGAAAAATGAAAGACCTGTAAATTACAGTTCAGTATGGAAGTTGGACACAAATAAGGAAAAGACGTTACCCCTGGGAACAAGATGAGCAAAATAATCCTGCAATTCTCTGAGAATGGGAAAACATCTGAAAAAGTGATTACGTAGAGCCTACGATAAGAGGGTCTCCTGTGGCTAATCTACCCACCTTCCCAACCAATAGTCCTCCCTCTGTTTTAGAGGGGGGGAAGCAGAGAAAAGTTTACACAAAATGTAATAATGAAGAAGAAAATGGATACCCCCTTTTCAGCCCACCTTCTGAAGTGCTTCATTGTGCATCAAAAATCCTATCATCAGTGCAAGTGACATTCTAAAGTTAGCGTTAAGACGCCATGTGACACTTGAGTAGATGGAGCCATTCATAAGATACATGGTGTTCTGGAACATTTATGCCAAACAGGAACCTATGGCAATTCTTAAGTTTTTGCCAGAATTATTATTATTTTCTTTGTAAAGTAATGTGCAGTTTTTTTTTTCAAAAGAAATAAAAACTAGTTCAGTTGTATCAGAAGTTGTGCTTTTTTGGCTTTTTTTAAACAAAGAACACAGTATTGCAAACAATGGCAAAATCTACTGTAAAAGTCATTTTCAGATTCCCCACTGGGAATAACATCTACGCTTCCAGATAAAAAGTTATCTACCCTATTTCTAAATGCTTTAACACTAAGAAAATTCTCCAGTTTGATAAAATTAAAATTTAAAGGCGCTAAATCTGGCAAGGAAGGAGGACATAGCAGAATCTGCTAACAATATGAGTTTCTCCTGGTTTTCTTTTACTAGACTGTAAAATAACACCCTTTTATGTTGACCAAAGCTAAATAGCTTGATTTATTATGAATATAAAAGACCTACTGTGAATGACCTACTTCAGAGTTGTCCAAACTTTTTTCCTAATGGAAGTACTTTATATAAATATGCTTTTAAAATAATTCAAAACGTGACTATCAAATTTTAATAATATATATATAATTAAATAAAATACTGTATTATTTGCAGTAAAAATAAAAGAAATTATTACATACACAAAATAGAATAAATTCAATGTGATTTTTGACATTGCTTTCCTTTTATAATATTCTTAATATCTGCTTTTATGGTATTTCTTTCAACAGTTTTGATGTTTTTCATGCACACAAAGAATTGTTCACAGCAGTATGTACTACTCCCCCCCCCCGACATGCATAACAGTTTTCTAGATAAGCTAAATAACTTTTATTTAGCTCTGGATCTTGCCCCACACACCAGATGCTGTGTCTTGGAAAAAGCCTTTGCTCCCTCCCCTTTTAGTGCAATGGGGAAGTGAACCTACTAACACAAGCTGAGAATAATTTTCTCAACATACATAACTAAAGTAAATGAAAATATGCCTAAAGATTTTAGGGTGCATTGAGCCGCATGAAAATACTAAATGGTCTGCAATACAACCAATGGATTGGACATCTCTGACCTGTCTTGTTCTAAGTTGTAAAGTCAAAACTTACCATGCTCCATCAAAAGACTGGTAAGATCTTATATAACATGAAATATGGTTTAGTTGTTAAGACAGGTTTTTTATTAAATAATAGTTATTGCTTTAGTTGCAAAATAAATTTAACCTTTTCTTTAAAAAAAAAATCTCCAGTAGTAATTCTATAAAGAAAAAACTTTATAATTACACAATGTTTCTATTGAGGATTAATAAAAAAAAAGGGGGGGGGGCTGCTGATTTTTCTTCTTTTAAATTTATAATCTTTCACACAGAAGTATGGTGAATTCTGGGAATGTTTAAATTGATTGATTTGGTTTTTAATGACTTATCGACCTTTTGCAGATTATTTAAAGTCAGGACATATTTTGGGATTGTAATAATTTTTTAGAGATAATAATGATTTTCTGACATAAATCCTATTATTTAACCCAGAGCCAGTGGGGGAGAGGTAGATTCATACTTATCCCAATGGTATTTGCACATAAATGAATATAATGAACCTGACTGGAATTCAAACTCAGCTCTCTAATTTCACAATCTGAGCCGTTAACCATTATACCACATGCACACCTAAACTTATAGCACCTGGTATTTCCAGGAGGTCACCCATCTAGGTAATGACTAAGCTCAATGTTGCTTAATCTCAGTGACTGGATGAAAAACCTGTGTTTCAACATGATATGGCCATAAGCCAGAATATTTAAAGCTCTCTCTCTCTCTCTCTCTATATATATATATATATATATATATATGTGTGTGTATAAAAATTAATCAGTTTGTCTGACGATCGCAAAAGCGTGAAACCCAGGGTCACAAACTCACATCAATCCAACCAAATATATATATATATAGATAAACCTAGTGAGCCAGACAAACCTACCCAGGTTTCACCTAAGCGGATCGTCAGGGAAAGCTGGTTGTATTGAGCTCTTTTTAGTTAGTTGTTTACTTGTGTCGGGGTTTTTTCTTTGGGCTTTAAACCTGTATCTGTGCGATTTTTTT